CGGGCCAGGGAGCTGCTGGCAGTTGGCTGTGCCTGCTGCATCCAGCCGTGCTCACCGCCCGAGCTGCTGTCCGAGGATCATGGGGTCGGGCAGGGCTTTGCCTCCTGCATCCCGGGCCCCAGGCCAGGCTGCTGGCAGGGCCCGGGCACAGCAGGCAGCAGCACGTGCCCACAGCCGTGACCTTGCTGTCCCTCCCTGCCTGTGGAGAGCAGCTCCGCGCTCCCACCGTGGTGATGCTGTGGGGATACAGACGGTGCCCTACTTAGGTTCAGGCCCAATTCAGAATCCTCTGGTCGCAGGAGCAACGACCTGGGGGTCAGCTGGGCACCCTGGCTCTGGGCTTGGCCTGGCTGCAGGCTCCAACCCCACACAGCCATCTCCCCCTGGGCAAGCACTGGTGCCAAAGTTATTGTGAGGGACTGGATCCAGCTGCACCCCAGGCCCGGGCAGAGACAGATCTGTTCCCCCGGCACAGCTTTGTCACCGCTGGGCACTGTGCCCGGAGCCTTCGGCACTGGATGAGTAACGGCAGTGCCACGGCTGCGTGTTCTCAATGAGCATCGTGCCCCTGCACCCAGCTCCTGGGAATGCTACCTGTGGGAGCAGCCAGCACTCTGGTGTGCTGGGCTGGAATCCTGCTCCTGCTGCCACCCCCTCCCCTGTACCACTGCAGCCCGTGGGCTGGCAGGGCTGCCCTGCCATCATGGGTGGGAGCAGAGGGCTCTGGGCTGGGGGACAGAGCCCCAAACCCTGGGGCTGGTCCAGGGTGGGAGATGGAACCTGTGAGGCGGCAGCAGGAGGTGCTTGGGGCCTCCATGGGGCTGTAGAGCCCGGGCTTGCCCTGTCTGGGGGCCACATGGCATGGTGTTGGGAGAGGGAGCTGGGCCCTGGTCCCCCATGAACCGCTGATGGAGCCCCTGGGATGGGGCTGGCCCTGAGCTGGCTGTGACAGGGGCTGCTGGGATGAGGAGTGCTGAGGCTGGTGCTCCCCAGGCCAAGGGCTTGCTGGGCTCAGGGCTTCCAAGTTCAGAGCAGAGCAGCAGTGGGGCTGAAGACCTGCCTGGGAACTGTCCCAGGAGGAGCGGGGGGAGTGAGCAGGAGCTGCCAGGGCCAGGGGGAGCAGCACTGGGGCTGGGGGGCAGCACCGGGCCAGCCAAGTTGCGTCGAAGGGGTCAGGGGTGTAGAATGGAGCAGGAGCTGCCAGAGGCCCAGCCAGGCAGCATCCCACCGGGGACACTGATCTGGAAACAGGGCCAGGAAGCCGTGCCAGCAGTCGGCCACAGCGAGGGGCTGGGGCAGCCCAGGCAGTGGGGAGCACATCCTGCGTGTCCTGGCTGCTGGCAGAGCCACAGGCAGAGAATGGCTCTCCAGAGAGGAATCACAGTCAGCTGAGCCTGCCTGGTGCACAGGGAGAGGTTTGGGAGAGGCTCAGGAGAGGCCATGGTGGGGAGCACAGGCAGCAACCAGGTGGACTGTCCTGAGAGCCCCAGGCACCACAGGCCCTGGGTGACGGGTGTTAATCAGTCTTGCAACAGGTCAGCCCCATGCCCAGGGCACCAGGAGGAGATGCAGTCGGGCACCCTTTTGGCCAGTGATGCTGCAGCGTCCTGAGAGGCCCGAGGTGCTCAGCAGGGCTCAGTGCAGGCAGTGAGGAGCTGCAGCTGGGACGGAGCCCGCGGGGCCAGAGCAGGCTCAGGCATCCCGGGGCAGGGGAGCAGCAGCAGCACTGGGGCAGGGGGCCCAGCCGTGGGCAGGGCAGGCGGTGGTCTTGCCCACCTGAACGGGCCGTACTGGTCACAGGGGTCCTCATGGGAGCTGGGGATGTGATTGCACAGCAGCTGGTGGAGCGGCGGGGGCTGCATGGGCACCATGGCCCCCGCACCCTGAAAATGATGGCCATTGGCTTCTGCTTCGTGGTGAGTGCCAGCACGGTAGGATGGGATGGGATCGGGGGCTCTTTCGTCAGGGTGGGGTCATGTTGCCCCCCCAGTGTGAGCTGGGATATCCTGATGCCAGCTCTGGCAGCCATGGGCAGGGCTGGTTCCCTGGAGCACGGCAGCACAGCCCAGTTGGAGGCAGGACAAGCCCATCCTGGTAGTCTTGGGCCCATATAACCAGCTCTGGAGCCGCCTTGGCTGGTGAGGGCAGGTGCTGCTCCTCACCTCGTGGCTCCTGCAGGGCCCTGTTGTGGGCAGCTGGTACAGGATCCTGGATCGGCTCATCCCGGGGAACACAAAAGTTGTGGCTGTCAAGAAGATGGTTCTGGACCAGGTTGGTGTGATGTGAGCAGGGGTGTCACATCGGGCTGGAGCAGCAGGATGGGGTGATGGGTGCAGCCATATTCCTGTGGCAAATTTCCATCCCATTCCATGAACCCCTGTGCCTGAGCTGAGCCAAGCCCCACTGTGGTGGAGGGTTGGGGTGGGCAGGGTCACAGGGGCTGCCTGTGGCCAGCCCAGCTCCAGGCACCACAAGCCCTTCGGCATTGGCCTTGGCTCCTCTCTCACAGGGGGGCTTCGCCCCGTGTTTCCTTGGCTGCTTCCTGGCCATCACGGGGGCCATGAACGGGCTGTCAGTGCAGGATAACTGGTCCAAGATCCAGCAGGTATGTGCTGCCGCCCTGGGGTGGAGGGGGGGGGCCCTGGGGAATCAGGGGGGCCCTGGCAGCTCCTCCTGGTGCGCTGGCCCTGGCGGCTGCTCCTGTTCATGGCTGTTCCCACACCCAGACACTGGGTCCGAGGGCCCTGGCAGCATCAAGTGCCCGGTGCTGCCAGTCTTGTGGGTTCTGGCACCACGGCCATTCCTGTGGTGTGGCACCAGAGTCCCACCTGTGCTGGGCACAGATGCCATGGGCTCCTGCGTGCCGTCCAGCCCTGCTCCTGGCTGGGTCTCCAGAGCCATTACCGATTTGGCTCCCATTGGCAGTAACTGTTGGAAACCGGTGCGAGCACTGAGTCAGCGTGTCCAGAGTGAGTCACTGGGGAACGGGTGCCCACCCACCACGGGACGAGGTTCGCTGGGGTGGTCGCCTGGCTGGCAGGGGTGGCAGCACCAGCCTCGTGCAGCGCTACCAGGGCTGCGTGTGAAGGGCCCCAGCCCAGCCAGACCCGCTACCCTGGGCTGGAGCTCTGCTGGGGCAGCATCGCCCAGAGCTTGTTCCTCGGTGGGGTGCCACCCCCAGGCACCAGCCTGCTGGGCTGCCAGTGTGTGCCCCTCATCCTGCCCTGGGGTGCAGGGAGCAGATCCCAGGGCAGGATTGTGTCACCTCTTCTTTCTCCAAGGTCTGCATGAGCCACAGCCAGGGTTGGGGTGCTCCAAGGCACCCCAGAGGCACATGTGGAGAGGTCTTGGGTACAGGCAGCACCCCACGAGCTCTTGTCCATCCGCTCCTGCTGCATCCAGACCAGCTGGTACCATGGATCTTGCTTCAGCTCCCCCAAAGCATCCCGCCATGGTGGGGGATTCCTGCAAGCTGTAGCTCCCAGCTGCCATGGCAGGGGTGGCTGGGCTGGGACCTGGGCAGCGGTGCTGGCAGCACCTTCACCCCTGGCTTGGGGCGCATCCGCCTTTCCCCACGCAGAGGAAGCGTCAGCAGAGCATCCATCACCCTGTGCCCGCTCGCCCCGTCCTGGGCTGCCAGCCAGCACCAGGAGGAGCCCGGGCTCCTGGCTGAGTCACGGCCAGGCTGGATGAGGGACTCGTCCTGCTGCCGTGGGGCAGGGATGCGGCACGGCCGCGGCTGCAACTCGAGGACAGAAGGACAGCGCCTTGGGCTCCCAGGGTGGATACCCTGGCTCAGTGCCCGTCTCCGTCCCTACCCCAGGGTGCCTGGGAGGGACCTGGGGGTTGTGGGGCTGAACAGGGGCTCACAGCCCACACCGGCGAGAGGAGCTGCCTGCCCGTGTGCCCTGGCTGTGGCACAGTGGGGATAGGGCGGTTGTGGCTGCCCTGTCCCTGCCACCCCAGTGGGCACAGCTGTGGGAGACACGGGCAGGGCTGTGGGGGCTCTGTGCCCCGTAGTGGGGATGGGGCCCTCTGCGTGCTCAGACTTCCTTTCTCTTGCAGGACTACACAGACGCCCTGATGACCAACTACTGTGTGAGTGCTGGCGGGTCTCTGTCTCTGTCCCTGTCCCCGAGTGCCAGGCAAGGGTGGGCACGGTGCACAGGCGCTGGCAGGGCCCCTCACTGCTCTCCCCTTCTCTGCCCAGATCTGGCCACCCGTGCAGATTGCAAACTTCTACTTCGTGCCCCTGCAGCACAGGTAGTGTTGTGGCTCTGGCCCCCAGCCCCTGGCCCCCTGAGCCAGCGGCTGTGGACCCTGTCCCCTCTGTCCCCAGGCTGGCTGTTGTCCAGTGCGTTGCCATCGTCTGGAACTGCTACCTCTCCTGGAAAGCAAATCGGATGTGAGGCAGAAGCCGTGTCCCACCCCTGTCCCCAGCCTGTGCACTGCCTGACCCTGCCACACCTTGGGAACCCTTTGAGTGGGTGCCTGTGGCTGTGGACAGGCTGAAACAGGCAGAGTGCTGGCAGCAGCTGTCCTTCTCTCTCCCTGGGGAGACACCATCACCACAGCCCCCACTGCCCCAGGGACACACTGGGGAGAAGATGGTGCCAGGGCACCCTGAGACAGGCCTGGAGTGGCTCCGGCTCCAGCTCCAGAGGCCTGGAGTGGCTTTGGCTCCGGCTCCAGCTCTGGCTGTACCGTGTGGCAGCTCTGCCTGCAATGTGTTTCTCCATCCATGCTCAACCCTCTCCTGGCCCCTGCCTGCATAGAGTCCTCCTGCCCCGGGCATCACTCCCCTTCCCCATGGCACATCCCTGGAGGAAGCAGGAGTGGGAGTGCCACTGGGCTGGGGCTGGCCCTGGGCTGGCAGTACCATGGGCACAGAGCTGGGGTCACTGCAGGCTGGGGGTGCTTCCCCTGAAAATGGGAGTTGGTGTGACTCTGCTGTAGACAGTCAGAGCACCAATAAATGGTGGTTTTCACTCTCGATTCCCATGGCCCTCAGGGTCGTGGCCCAGCAACCCCTCCAGGCCCTGCAGAAGCAGTTCCAGAGTGACCATTCCTGTGTTACAGATCGACAGCTCCACTCTGCCTTGTCCCAAGGCACTGAGTGTGGGGCTGTGGACTGCAGGCTGATGGGGTGAGCTGCCCCACTGACTGGGTGAGGAGAGGGGGCTCCAACAGAGGGTGGATGGTGGCTTAGGGGATCACCAGGTTCCACTGCAGCTGTGGGAAGGGTGGGGAGTAGGGCTGAAGCTGGGGCTGGGCCAGGGCTGCCGCCACCAGCGCTGCTGCCCCGTGGGGATGTGTGTCCATGCTCACCCTACACCAGGAGTGAGCAGACACAACCCAGCTCACACAGCACATCGCAGCCAGGGGCTTTGAGTGGAGCTGGTAGGATCATGATGGTTCACCTCACCCCCACAGGGCCTTGAGTCCCAGCCCCCTTGGTCTCACTGTAGCAGCCCCATGCAGCTCAATGGAGCCATCCCTTTGGTGCTGGCACCAGCTGGATTCTGCAGGCTGCCAGCATGGCCCTTATGGAGAGGATGCACCATCTGTCCTTCCTCCCTCACCTTCACACTTCTGCCCTGGGTTGGCCCTGGGCTGGCCCGGGCTTTGGGGCCACTCTAGGCAGGTGAGTACAACCCGAAGCATAGAGGAGCTGAATCCTGCTCCTGTGCACTCATCTGGGGATGGGGCTATAGAGCCTACCCAGCTGCTGGCCCTTGCCTGAGGGTGAGAAATGGGAAGGGGTTGTGGCTGCAGCCCCCAGCAGTGCTCGGTAGAGCAGCACAGGGCTGGGGCCAGGTGATGGAACCATGCATGGATGGCACCAGGACCTCAGGAGGACCTCGAGCCTTGTGTGGGCTTGGCCCAGGCTCTCTCCAGTATGTGGGGTGGGTGCTGTGGGAGGCAGGATTTTGCAGTCCCGAGGCACTGAGCCTCTTACAGCTCTGTCTGGGGGTACAGGAGGCTCTGGGGTGTCAGCAGTGAGTGAACTGCAAGCATGGCATGAGCCACGTGGCGTGAGCCACTTGTCCCCAGGAGTAGCTGCCCCATGGCATGGGGCTGCCAAGGCTTGGGGGCCTGAGCCCAGGCCCTGCTGAGGGCTGTGCCCTGCCACTGTGGGAAGCGGTGCCGAGTGCCAACCTTCACGCTGGATCATGTCACGGGGCCGTGGCACTGTGTGCTGCCTCGCTGCGAGCAGGGCTGTGCCCCCCTGCCCTGTGCCACCTGGTGTGGGACACACCGTGCAAGGGGCCAGACTGAGCCTCTGTCCCCAGATCTGCCCAACACTGGCACTGTGGAAGGAGCCCAGTCTGGGCCTAGCTGGGCACCTGCACCAGCGTCGGTTCTGGGTGTTGGCTTGGCTGCAGTTGGGGTTGGGGGTCTGCACTCGGGGGTCTGTTAGCAGCAGTGTGAAGCACTCGGTGGTCTGCCGGCAGCGTTGTGGTGCACTCAGGGGTCTGCCGGCAGTATTGTGGTGCACTCGGGGGGCTGCCAGCAGTGATGTGAAGCACCAGCAGCCACCTCACCGTTTGGCAGCGGCGCTGGTGCCCCATCGGAACACCCTGCATCGAGCACGCCGCTGCCGACTCCGGTGTCTCCGCTCTATGACTCACAGGACTTGGCCGGTGCTGCCGCTGCGCTTCGGGGTCTGCAGCTCCTGCACCTCGGCACCACCCGCTCTGCCCGGGGCACGGGGCTACAGACAGGCCGGGGGTCCCCCACCCATGACTGTCCTGCCCCGGAGTTGCCGGTGCCCGGGGTGTCCCCCCCACGCCCAGGGATCCCCCACACGCCCAGGGATCCCCCCTGCCGCCGCCCACGTTCCCTGCTCAGGACGCCGCTGCTCGAGGCGGCCGCTCGACCCGGTAACGTGGGGGTCCGTCGAGGGGGAGCCACGGCTCAGCCTGATACAGCTCACCGGTACATCTCACCGGGAGCTCACCGATACATCTCACCGGGAGCTCACCGGTACAGCTCACCGGGAGCTCACCGGTACATCTCACCGGGAGCTCACCGGTACAGCTCACCGGTACATCTCACCGGGAGCTCACCGGTACAGCTCAACGGTGCGTCCCGGCCGTTCAGCACCGCGGACAGCGGCGGAGAACGGGACTGGCGGGGGGCAGCAGAGCCGGGAGAGGGAGCGAGGGAACCGGGGGAGCGGGGGACAGAACGATCCAAGGCACCTGCTGGCACCGGCCGCGGCACCGCCGAGCCCCGTTGGCGGGCGCCGGAACGGAACCGGAGCGGCGGCCCCCGAGCGCGGGGAGAGCACGGTCTGCCCCTCCGCCGGGGACCCGCTGCCCCGCAGCCCCGTCCCGCCGCCGGGAACCCGCTCCCCGCCGCCCCGGTGCCCCCCGCTCCCGCCCCCCGCTCCCGCCCCCCGCCGCCCCGTGCGTGCCCGGCGCTGACGTCAGCCCGGGCTCCGGGGCCGATATAACCCCCGGACGCGCCGCCGGCTCAGCTCCCGCGGGACGGACCGCGCTCGCTCCGCCGCCAGCACCGGCAGCAACAGGGGACGGGCACAGCGCACCGGGTACGGGCCGGGGCTTGGGCACCGGGCGGGGACAGCGCCGGGTCGGGGCCGGGGGGCGCAGCGGGGATGGGACGGGGCGGCCGGGCGGGCTGGGGGCACCGAGCCCGGGGCGGTCCCCGCGCCGCCGGGGACGCGATTCCCGTCGAGCCCCCGCAGCCGCCCCGGTCTCTACTGTGGCGCTGAGCCCTCGGACTCGCAGGTTCGGAGGGACCGAGGATGCGGCGGGCGCTGCTCACTCTGCTGCTGCTGCTCGCCCGCTCGCCGCCCGTCGCCGCCCTCCCCGCCACCACCGACGGCTCCGTCCCGGCGGCCGCGGCCGGGATCGGGGATCGGGGCCGCCCGCTCTGGCCGCCGCTGGCGCCGCCGGCCCCGGGGCAGTGGAGAGGGCGGCGGGACGAGCCGCCGCTTTCCATCGACCTCACCTTCCACCTCCTACGGCACCTCCTGCTCCTCGCCCGCGCCCAGAGCCAGCGCGCCCGCGCCGACTCCAACCGCCGCATCCTCGACGCCGTGGGACGCTGACCCTGAACCCCCCCCGGGACCGCCGGACCCCCCGGGAACCCCCGTAACCCCGGGTCTGCACCGGCCTCCGGCCACCGCCTCGGGCTCTGCGCTGTGGGGCACCCGGCGCCTCACCGGCGAACGCACCGGCACCGACACCGGCACCGGCTGCACCCGCCTCAGCCCCGGCGCTGGGGTGAGTGGGAGCGGAACCGGCCCCGGGACGGTCCTGCACCGATTTTGTAATAAAACGTGGTGGAAACTCGAGGCGTGAGCAAGTGCGGGGCGGGGGCAGCTGGGGCTGTGCTGGGCCAGGGGCTGGAAAACTGGGAACGGGCTCACTGGGAATGGGGGATGGGCTCACCAGTTGTGGGGAATGGACCCACAAGGGATGGGGAATGGGGTCACCAGGAACAGGGAATGGGGGAATAGGCTCACTGGGATTGAGGAAGGGGATCACCAGGAATGGGAAATAGGCTCACCAGGAATGGAGAAACAGACTCATTGGAAGTGGGGGAATGCATTCACTAGGAATGGGGGAACAGGCTCAGAGGGAATGGGGAATGCGCTCACTGGGAATGGAGAAAGGGCTCACCAGGAACAGGGAACAGGATGAGCTAGGCTGGGACTGGGTGGCAGCAGCTGGGCTGTCAGCACAAACCCACCAGCACTGGGGATGGGGCTGTGTGTGTTCCCGGGCCAGGGCATGAGATATTGTGGTCTCTGGGGAGAGAAGATGCTCCCAGACCCTCAGGTGTGGCAGCAGTGGGAAGCAGAGGGCACAGAGTGGTGGGAACAGCGGGTCCTCATCACCAGTGAGCTGGGCACAGTGGCTGCACCCACCTGTGGGGATGTGAGTGGGTGAAGCAGCTCCACCCTGGGATGGCTGGTGAGGCTGGGGAGGGACAGACACCGTTCAGGAGCACCGGGGGTGGGGGGCACCTCTGTGGGACACACGGTGCTGCTGAGCAGGTCAGGGCTGGAGCCATGGGCAGGGAGGGGGACACTGTAGTGGGCTGTGTTTCAGGCCCCCAACCAAGAGGACAGGGATGAAACCTTCTGAGGCAGCTGGGGGAGGTTCAGCCTCCCCATGGGTAGCCCTGTTCCTCACCAGGACCTCCAGCCCTGTCTGTGGAAGGTGTCTCTGCCTGTGGTGGTGGGTGGGACTGGGTGGTCCCTTCCTATCTAAACCAGCTGAAAATTCTGTGGTAACATCCCACTACATGCTGGAGGGGCAGTGTGGCAGGGCTGGAGCAGGGAGGAGTGTTTTTGGGAGGGGTGCCTGGGAAGGACTGTGTGAGGATGTGATGGTAGAGGAGGTCGGTGCCCGGGGCAGGCAAGAGAGCAGGTAGAGGGGTGCAGGCAGGAGGTGCAGCCCCTGGATTTTGAGTGAGCCACTTTTGGTGACCAGATGGCTCTGGTAGGAGGCAGCTCCAAGGGATGAGGGAGCTGAGGAATGCCAGGAGGCCTTTGGGAATGAGCTTGAGGCTTGGCTGCAGCTGGAAGGGACCTGGGGAGATCCCCCAGTCCAACCTCTACTCCAGCTGCTTGTGCTGTGTCCATTGGGGCTTGAAAGGGCAAATTCCACTACGGCATGAGGACCCTGGAGCTGGAAGAAGGATTGTACTGGGACAATTATTCTTTGGAGATATTCATATTGGATGGGACACTGACCTGGACACTCCACTTCAGCCAACCCTGATGAGCAGGGCTGGGTGTGGGAGGGCTCTAGGGGCCTCTGGGCAGCCTATTCCAGATAACCTGTGTGATCAGCTTCACTGCAAAAATACCCCAAACCTTTGGAGGCCAGTTTGTGCCAGTTGCCTCTCGTCCTGTCATGGGGCTCCACTGGGAAGAGCTCGGTTCCCTCTTCTTTCCCTCCCATCAGGCAAGTATTTACATGGATTCAACCCCCCAAACCACCCCAGTCCCTTATTTTGCAGCAGGTGCTCCAATCCCTTCAGCATCACTGGGACCCCTCCCTGGGCTGCAGAGGTCACTTCCTTCTCGCCCCTTCTCTCCCAGCCTGACCAGATGCTGCATCCACAGCCCCTCCTGCTTTGTGGATCCCCCCACCCAGGGAACTGTTGCTCACCCAGATCTGCTGGGAGAAGATGCCACTGTCACCTCCTCAGCTCAGCGTCACCACTGAGGATTTTGTTGTCCTTCATGTCCTTCAGTAGCTGCAGCTGGACAGTCATGATTAAGCAATAGCACCATGAACCTTGTAGGCTCGGCTAATCTTCTCTTTTAAGGAAAAAGGAAGACCACTCCAAGAGGAACGGGCTGCCTGGGTGAGAAGCACCAGGAGTGTTGTCAGCAGGACTGGGCAGCACCTGGGGAAAAGGTAATTCCAGCAGCGGGAGGTCACAACCAGTGACTCACTGACCACCTCCTCAGAACAGACCCCCAACAAACAGAGGGAAGAGCTGCTCCTGCAGAGGGATCAGTGTGGGAAGGGAGAGACACCCAGCAAAGAGGGGTTTGAGTGCTAGTCAATAAAAGAGTTCTGTAAGCTGTTACCAATGAATGCTGGTGCCTTTGTTTGCTCAAATGGGTAAATAGTGTAAAGTTCTGATGCTTGGGGAGCAGGGAACGGCCTGGGGGAAAACCCCAGACCCCGTCTCTGTGCTGACTGGAATAAAGCCAGAAATCCCTCCCCTCAGAGTGGGAACTGGGGCTGTGCACCCACCTGGTGACTGGGGATTGCACACGACCAGCCCTGACACTGGGACAACCAGCACCGCAAGGGCACAACACATTCTGGAGGCATCTGCTTGGTGAGGGGTGTGGCTGAAAATTGCCAAACAGCAGGATTTTGGGATTGTGCTCTGCATAAGCTGCAGAAGCAAAAATTTTGTTTCTACACTTTGGTAACACACGTACTGGATTTTTGGTATTTGCACATGTTTTTACACCAGGAGCTGGTGATGTAGAAACTGGGGTTAGAAGTGTGTGCACTGGGATAGTGTATGAAACATCGGAAATTTCAGAACTGAAATGGGTTCCTCTGATTCTTTAAAAATTCCCCTTTGCTCTCCCCTTGGACATATCCTGAAGAACTGGATAAATCTGGGGGTGACCATAAGACTGAAGATAAATTGAAAAGATGCTCTAATCAGTGGTGGCCTCAATATAAATTAGATGATGGTGAAAATTTTCTGGAAAATAGGTCTTTGAAGCATAATATGATTTTACAAATGTTATTTTGTAGGAGGCAAAACAACTGGGATGAAGTCCCTGATGTAGATTTGCTTTTCACTTTAAGAAATAATTAGTAAAGTAAGGAAAAAATGTGGTTTAGGAAATTCAAAGTATCAAAATGAAACATATTTTTTGGTCAATGGAACAAGAAAAGAGGGTAAGGGGAAAGATACTCATTGTATAGGATGAGAAGATAAAAAAAGACAAAAACTCTAAGTTTCGTTGTCGGCAGCTCCTCCAACACGAGGATCAAAGCTGGAGGTGGTCAGTGAATCTGGCAATGAAAGAGCTGGGTTTGATGCAACGCCTGTTTTCTGGAGGACCAGAGAGAAAGGGAAGTCGGTATTAGAAGCACCTTTAAGGCAGCAGCCGGACCAGAAGGGGGAGGCAGTGGACGTGCGTGTGCAGGTCACACTTCGGACTCGCTGAATCAGAATCAGCGAGCAGGGAGATGCCACAGGAATCCCGAGGGAATGTGCAGTGGGATTAAAACCGTGATGTCAATTCATAATCCAAACTGGGCTCTTCTGAAATACTTGTCTCCCCATGAGGAATGGAGGGCAGTTTAGAAAAGGCTCGGGAAGGAGGAGTTAAGAAAACAGAAGGATTAAGTTCAGGTTCAGGGCATTCCAAATCCTGACGAATTTCTCCCTAAGAATGACCCAGAGTGGGATTTCAATCAGACTACTGGTGAGATTCACTAAAATTGTATCAGGATTTAATTTTGATTTAATTGGGAATCCAGAAGGGAGTGGAGAAACCAAAACACCTTGGCAAGTTGTACGAACAGAAGCAGGGAGCAAAGGAGTCTCCTTGGGCTTTTTATGTAAGATTGTGTGAGGCGGCTCCCACAGGTGTGGACTCAGATGCAGCAAGGGAGGGAAGCAGGGTGCTGTTTAACAGACTCTTGCTTGAGCAGTTCGTGCCAGGTATTAGAAAGAAATCCAGAAAGAGAGAAGGAGCACTGAGGATGGTTATTTCCCAAGTGATGTCTGTGAATAGGGAAGAGGCAGAAGAGAAGGAGAAAAGCTGAGTGAGATTCCCAAATCTGTTGTCAGCTGCCCTGACCAACATGCAGGGATAGAGAGGAGGCAGAGGGTGAGGTGGATTTTGGGGACAAGGGTGAGGATTAACACCCCTCCAGAAGGATCAGGGTGCCTGTTGCAAACAGGAGGGGCACTGGGAAAAGGAGTGTCCCGAATTGCAAACAGACAGAGGGGAGAATCAGAAGAGGTGGGACTTATGACAGAAACTGGGCTGGACTGAAGGGGACCAGAGGCATCTCTCATCATTGCCCTGGCCAATCCTTTGTTCCAGGTAAGCTGGGGAATGAAACAATGGATTTTCTAGTGGATACTGGAGCAGCTTGTTCTGTAGTTACAGAATGAGGGACCTTAAGTGGGTTGCCCCATGGGTTGTGCAGCTCTTTGCTGATGGAAGCAGTGACACGTTGAACGGACAGCAGGAAATTGGTCACACTGTGGACACTGCCAGGGGGGCACCAGGAAACAACCCACTGCCCAGCAACACCTCTGCCAGAGAGCTGCACTCTGAGCCCTCACTCAGCCCCTGCAATTGAGCTGAGGAAAGAAAGTCAATATTTATACTGACTCAAACCTGTCTTTGGCGTAGTCCATACTCATGGGGCAGTTTGGGAAGAGTGACAAATTTTGAACTCGCAGGGGAGTTTGGAGAAATATGGATCTGTAATTACAAAGCTAGTGAAAGCAGTTCTTCAAGCAAATAAAGCTACAACAATCTAAAAGTGCCCTAGGAAAGAAATCCCGACCCTGTAAAGGGGAAGCAAAGAGCAGATGCAGCAGGGAAAGAAGCTGCATTGAGGAAACCAAGAAGTGTTGGTTCCACAACCCTGTGTAGTTTCATTTCCAACGAATTATACAAAAGGGGAGGAACAATGTGCAGAACAGCTGGACTGTACTAAAAATAAAGAAGGATGGTGGGAAACACCTGTGAAGCAGCTCTTGGTCCCTGAGGGGATGATGGAAGCCCAGCTTAAAAGGCTGCATCAAGAGATACACGTGGGAGCAGATGTGTCACTGCTT